GCCGTCGTCTTGCCTGATTGTACTTTCTCCTGTGTTTTTTCGGTCTCCAAGAATCCTGGTTCCGCCCGCTGCGTTTCGATCACCGTGTTTTGATTGAGTTCCTCGGAATCGGAGGTGGGGGAGAGGAAACAGTTCCATGGCTCTGTGTCGGCGCTTTGCTCAATCGAGAGCTCACCTCGTCAAATTGCTTCTCCTCGATGCTTCTTCGAGGAGTTCATTTCGCGCCGGAAAGTTGGAGCATAATAGTAGACACATGTCCGACCTTGCAAGACCTAATGGCGCGAACCGTGCTTTCCTCGTAGATAGATTAGCTCTGGTAAAACTCTACTTTTTCGCCGGAAAGTTGGAGCATAATTATAATATTTTTTATGGTAAAAATGAGTTGGACATTAAAAAATATTAAATTGTATTTATTTATTATTTCTTAACTGCCACGTCACTAAGTTAACAGTCAACTTTGAGAGTTGACTGCCACATCAACCAAAGTTAACGAAGTTGGATGGAGGGTGACCAAACGTGAAGGGTTTTAGTAAATTGAAGTACCATCAATGGATTTAAAAATATATCGAATGACCAAACTTGAACGTATTTTGTAATCTCAGTGACCAATCATGCAATTAACCCTAATTTAATATAATGTCGTCACGTATAGTAATAATTAATCACTCGCGATAACAAAAAAATGATAAATTTCTCACCACGTAATGAATTTAACTCTTCAAGGAGAAGAACGAATTCTTGACTTATGATTAAAAAAATGATATATGCTTCAAAGAATAGGTGCTAACGCACCTAATTTTATCCTTTGGTAGATTTTAGCATACTAATAAGAAATAATGGGTAAATTGCAAGTTTGGTCACTTGAATTATTAGTAAAGTTCACCTTAGCCACTAGAATTATTTTATTTCATTTGTAGTCACTTAAATTAGGTTAATAGTTCAAGTTTGGTTACTGGTCGTTAGTCTCCGTTAACTTTTGCTAATGTGACGGTCAACTTTTATAGTTGACCGTTAAATGAGTGACATGGCAGTTAAAAAATATTAAAATATTAAAATTATTTTTTAATATTTTTCAACTCATTATTACAATAAATAAAAAATTAAACCCCCACAAAAAAGAGGCACTAACCGCAGAAAGCGAGGAACGGAGCAAAGAGGTGAAAATGTCATGGTTCACCAGAAGCCTGCAAGGATCAACAACAAAGCATCCATACTCGGATGGATTTCGGTGTTGGAAATTTGGTTGAACCGGACTAACCAAGTCAAACCGGTTTTGGGTTGGACCGACCAACCGGTTTTGGATTAGACCGACCGAACCGATATTCTAATTTCGTGAAGGGACACATCCCTTTTGGCCTAGTGGCGGTTGCATTATTTTATGGATAAGGATAACCTTAAAGATAAAGGCAACCCTTCATATGGATAAGGACAACCTTTCATATGGATAAAGGCAACCTTTCGTATGGATAAAGGCAACCTTTCATGAAACAATGCATGGATTCGGCCCCTATAAATATGTGTGTGGGGTGCATGATGTCACATACCATCAAACAGATTCTTCTTCTTTCTTCCAAAAATTTCTAAGTATGCTTTAGTGTTCTTGAGCCTGGAACCTAAAGTGGTGAGAGTTTTTATCCTCGGGAGAAATTTCATGTAACCCTAGGCTTGTTGAGGGTGGAAATATTTTTTTCGGAAAGTGAACTTTGTTCATGACTCTATCACAATCCTGGTCACCCGGTCTCGGGCTATCGTACGTATACCCTCGTCCCTAAAAGTCCCAACAATTGTAAAGAATAGTTTCCGGTACAATAGCTCGAACTGCTCTTTACAAGAGACCGGTTCCGGTCTATGGAATTATGAGAATTTTCGATGATGGTTATTTCATCGATGGCAGTAGAAGATGAGTGTTCTTCGTACTAGTCTCATGGTATATTCCATATCCGGAAGGTAACTTGGAAGAGGGATGATTCGAAGATGAGGAAGAAGGAGAATGATTCGTAAAATGGAGAAATAGAAGAATGAAAATTGCCTTTGGGTAGGTCACATACTCAATGGTTAATTTGTCTAATTCTCTATTCGACGTTTACGAAGTGCTAGACAAATATGGATTTGTCTAGTGGTTTGATGGTGTGGTTTTGTCTAAGTGGTTTATTTTAAACCAAGGAGACAAAATTGTATATACAATGTTTGATGAAACTGGTAATCGAGTCGTTGTGTTTGTATGTAGATGACATATTTATCTTTGGGACCAATCAAAGATAAGTGATTTTGTCAAGTGGTTTATGTTATTTTAAACCAAAGAGACAAAATGTGTACACAATTTATGATGATTCTGGTAATGAAGTCATCGTACATTTTGTATGTATAAGATATGCTTATCTTTGGAACCAATAAAAGATAAGTGAACTTTAATAAAAAGTTGTTATTTCAATTCTCCATGTAGGACATGGGGTAGGCAAATGTGATTCTGTGTATTGAATCAAGCGGAACGACAAAGAAGAGTCCTTCTCTCAATTTTTCTGCATGAGAAGGTACTTGCATAAATTCCATAGTAGGAATTGTAGTGAGTTAAAGACCCCAATGGATCCAAGTATGGAACTTATGGTTAATACTGGAAATCAGTTTTACAACTGGATACGTATGCATGCCTTACATGATGCTAGATATCGCATATGCGATAGAACAATTAAGTTGGTAAGTGATGAATCCTAGTTCTCATAATTTGAAATGAAATGAGGCGTGTACTAGGATATGTCAAAGGCACACTGTATTGACTTATAGTGGCTTTTCATCAATTTTGGAAAGGATTTGTTGATGTTAGTTGGATTTCTCATGTTAAAGGCGATACTTCAACATTGAGATGGGTCCTCTTGCTTGGGAGAGGTGCCATAATTTGGGCCTCTAGAAAGCAAACTTGCATCACTAAGTTTCACTATGGAATCAAAGTTTGTGTGGCCTTGATTTCTCTTAGAGAAGAGACATAATTGTTGAGAGGTTTGGTTTATGACATATATTTATGGCCTAAACCAATCTCACCTATTACTATCTTTTGTGATAGTAATGCTAATTTGGCTAAGGCATATAGTCAAGTGAAAATGATAAGTACGGTCATGTGGGAGTATGGCACGATAAAAGCTGTGGACTGATCATTCATAGTGTTGTGTCTAGACAGTATGACCAAACTCGAATTAATTTGGTTGATCATTTGACAAAGTGGTTAACTAGTGACTTGGTGATCAAGTCTGTGAAAGGAATGGGTTAAAGTCCATATAATTTCTGGTAATGGGACACCCAATTCCCCTCTAATACAACGTTAGAGGCTGAATTCAATGTGAAAAGCTTATTATCAGAAATTGAAGCACAAAATTTGACATCCCGAGGTGTGTGCTTGTTATCTGCATGAGAGAAGAGGATGAAGTTCAAAACTTCTTAATTGAATCTTTGACAAAGTGTATTATGCGGGTACACGAATAAAAGATTCGACCTATGTAAGCATGAAGTGTAGCCGCTTCAAGAAACCCTGACTTTGGTTTCGTGTGCGCTTATGAGAAGGATTGGACACATGGCGGATAATAGTGTCAAGGCACTTAGAAGTTTTGAAAACTTAAGTGTATATTATCTTCGAATATTCATATGAGTCAATGGGTTCAATCGTTACCGACACCCTTTGTATTCGAGTATTCGTCAAGTGTAATATACTAAGGTGAAAATTCAATCGTCACGACATTTTCATTTAGGCTTAAGTTTTGTTGGAAGAATGTTGTGATTTTAGTGAATTCCAAGAATACACTAAAATGGGGGAGGAATGTTGGAAATTTGGTTGAACCAGACTAACCAAGTCAAACCAATTTTGGGTTGGACCGACCAACCGGTTTGGGATTAAATGACCAAACCGATATTCTAATTTCGTGAAGGGACACATCCCTTTTCCCTAGTGGCGGTTGCATTATTTTATGGTTAAGGATAACCTTAAGGATAAAGGCAACCTTTCATATGGATAAGGACAACCTTTCATATGGATGGAGACAACCTTTCGTATGGATAAAGGCAACCTTTCGTATGGATAAAGGAAACCTTTCATGAAACAATACATGGATTCGGCCCCTATAAATATGTGTGTGGGGTGCATGATGCCACATACCATCAAACGGATTCTTCTTCTTTCTTCAAAAAATTTCTAAGTATGCTTTAGTGTTCTTGAGCCTGGAACCTAAAGTGGTGATAGTTTTATCCTCGGGAGAAATTTCCTGTAACCCTAGGCTTGTTGATGGTGGAAATATTCTTTTCAGAAAGTGAACGTTGTTCACGACTCTATCACAATCCTGGTCACCCCGGTCTCGGGCTATAGTACGTATACCCTCGTCCCTAAAAGTCCCAACATTCAGGTTAGGATGATTGCCTGCCGTCGGACATGGAGCTGGCCGAGTTCGCTGTTGACGAGGAGAGCCTGCTCAGACGGGGCTGGAGGCGGAGTCTTTCGGGATGGAGGAGCTCGGGGGTTCTGGACTGTGGTTGAGACCCGGAATCGATCAGGTTCCAGTTCCCGCCGGGGCTAGGGACATCGCTCCATCTGGAGGCTAATCTGGGGTAGACGGTGTTCAGGAAAATGGATAGGGAAAAACTATATGGACAGTAATTCAAGTGACCAAACGTGAACGGTTTCAATAAACTGAAGTATCACCAATGAATTTAAATATTTCGAGTGACCAAACTTGAACGTATTTTATAATCTCAGTGACCAACCATATCATTAACCCTAATTTAATATAATGTCGTCACGTATAGTAATAACTAATCACTCGCGAGAAAAAAAAAATGAGAGTATCTCACCACTTAATGAATTTAACTCTTCAAGGAGAAGAACGAATTCTTGACTTAGCAGACTAATAAGAAATAATGCTAGGCCGGTAGGCCCACCTGTTAACAAAAGCCCGTAATGAACAGTAAGATAAAAAGCCCATCATATTCCGTACCAAAGCCCCAAAAGTAAGCAACTCACTCTTCAGTCTTCATTCTGAAGCAAAATGGCGACGCCAACTCGTTAATCCTTCACTTTCACAGAGATCAACGACAAACGACCAATCTCCAGATCTTCAGAAACTCTTCCATTTCCCAAAATCCATCAAACCTTCCCCAACTCTTCCACTTCGCCCACCACGAAGGAGCTTTAATTTCACCCAAAATCACTGATAATGCAACAAGCTTTAGTATGGCAATCCATTCAAGTGTACAAGATTCCCATCCTCGAAATCTCTCTCGCCGTCTCCCTCACTCTGCTCTCGACGCTTCTCCGATTCCCGGCCTTGTTACTCCACGGCCTCCTCACTTACATCCAGCCCGATAATGCCCCCAGCCAGAACGGCGGCGTCAAGGCCGCTATCCGACGACCCTCCGACGGCAACGCCGAGCCGAAGCCGAGGAAGGGTAAATCCAAGGAGAAATTCGAGTTCGACGAAAACCAAGCCCAGATCTTTAGGCTAAAACTCGACGAGGGTCATCTCCAGTCTCGCCTCTACTTCAAGGATTACTGGTATTCCTTCACTTACTCTCTCATTTCCTTCGCTTGTTTGTCTCTCCACAAGTACTTGGCCGCCGGGGAAGGGGGAGAAGAACGCGATGGTGGGGCTTTTGTTAATGGGTCGTTAATTCCGGCGATTCTGATCCTCATTGGTATTTTGAAGTTGTTTGTGTCGCTGGGTAAAGTTTCGTTTGAGAGATCAGCGTCCAAGAGATCGGAGAAGCGATTTGGTTTAGTGGTAGGGGTTTTGGGGTTTGTGTTAGGGTTCATCGTTTGTTCCGGGTTTGCTGGCTCGGTCCTTGATTTTGATCTGAATTCACTTGATGGGTATGGAAAGTTCTTCATTGCGTTCCTGATGGGCTGCATTGGTGGATTTCTGTACATGGCTGCTGGCAAGAATGCGCGATCGTTTTGGATTGGGACAGATCAGACTCGATCTAATCTCTCAATAATATCATGTGGTGGTTTTGCTAAAACGATCCTATACGGAAACTACATTTCGGTTGCCCTTCCCGTTCTGCTTTGGATTCGTCCCTTATCCGAGATCCTTTACAAGAAAGACTCTGGAAATGCTGACCAATTGGTGGGGAGATTGGGTTTTGCTCGATCCGAGTTTGTTAATCTACGAATTTGGAGCTTGGTAGCTTCAGCTTGCTTCCAACTTGTGGCCATAAGACCAAATCTGCAGATGTTCTTGAACGAAGCCGTGCTGTCTTGGTACCAAAGGTTGCATGCTAGCAGAGTTCCTGATCTGGACTTCAGTAGAGCTAAAGTTTTCCTGCACAATCATTTCTTGTGCCTCGTGGGCCTGCAGTTCTTCGCTCCACCTATCCTGGTACTTCTCTTCCTTGGCTTGTCTCTGATTGATGGAAACTCGGTGAAGAATAATATGCATATGTTCTGTGGATTGCTGCCTTGCTCTGCTTTTACCAAAGAAGTTGGCGTGTTTATGGCGTGGTGGGTTGTCTTTGTTTGGACAGTCTTCACTTCGATAAGCCTGTTGTTTTACAGAAGAGGCACTCTATCCGTTTCGTGATGATTTTGATACGATCTGTTTCCTTTACCACTTGAGAAGTTTTTGATGAATTGCCAAAAGAGGAAAGTGTATGCTTGTACCAGATTTTCTTCCTCTTGTTAGTTCATGCAAGTGAAATACTTGAACCTACAGGAACTACATTTACTTCTGTACATTTGTCAGTAGAATGACAAAAACAAAGAGCGTACGAAACAAAAAGAACATGATTTTCTTCTCAGCTTGATTCCTTGTTATTTGGAGAGGAAGTATCTGCACAACATTTTTTTTTACTTCTGCCTTTTGCCACTGCATCTGCTAATTCTATGCAATCTCAACTTATGACAACGTGTATGCATTTCGTGATCGAATTTAACTGGTGATGCTGTCAATTACTTGCTGTGACCAAACTTTGCTAGCCAGGACAATCCGCGATATTAAGAATGCAGTGGAAGTCTTGCAGCTTTTAGATGAACTGCCCGCTTCCCTTAACGTGAAGCGATGTATGAGGAATTTAGATTCAAGTCAAGAAACCAGGGCAGGCCATGATGGCTTATCGCTTTAGAATCTTCATGGGAGTTTCTTGTTCTGTTTCTGTTCTCCCTTCCTTTATTTAACAGAAAAATGGTATTATTCTGGTCTGGAGGCTTTCAGCCATTGATGATCGCTTTGTTGTGGAGGTAAAGCGATGAAAACGAAATTAGACTCCAATCAATGATAATCTGGCTTTCTCTCCACTATAATACTGTTTAGGTTCATGTCAGGATTACACAACCCTTTTGACTAGGACTTCCCTTTCCCTTCCCATTATAATAGGGTTATCGTCCTATGTCAAGATTACCCTTTCTGAAATAGGATTTACCCAACCGCCCCACACCAAAAGACAAGCCATTCCTAGTCACACACTGCTTGGAACTTTTCCTACTCCATATAACAAGGCAAAAGACTGCTTCCCTCATTCACCAAAGCCAAACACACAGTGTTAGCAATTCGTTAATTATCCTAATCGACCAATCATTAACCCACTAATCAAAGTATTAGCCTCGTAAGTACGATCTTCGTTATGGTCTCAAAAACCAAGACGCCGATAAATTGGTACGACATGTGAAACCGTTTCCAGACATTGTATGGTTCTGGTGAGTCCCCGAAGCCATGTTTCATCTTCAAGTAGGGTTTTTTTTCAATGGGCTTCAGTTTCAGTGGCGGAGGAAAGTGACCGCTAGGGATGGCAATCAAACCCATGGCCGCGGGTATCCGATCGCCCCCGACCCAGTCAACGCGGGGAATCCCCGCTTTGACTGGGTATGGGGCGGGTATGGGTAAAACCCGCAAAAAGTTTGATGGGTATGGGGCGGGTATGGTTTTAGCCTCCCCCGCCCCATACCCATACCCATACCCGCCCCACCAAGATAATTTCTTCATATATAAAAAAATATGTGCATCAAATTATAATCTATCAATGATGATGAGGATAACTTGAGAAAATAAATAGTAGAAATGCAATTGATTGACCACCTTAATCAAAATCTAATTCATTTCTCTCAATTCTCATTTCACTCTTTCACTTTCCCCCTTGTCAACAAGATTATGTTAGTTAATTATTATTTAGTAGATGTATCAGAGTTAGAACATAATAATTTGGAAAATATTATACTCTATATTATGTATTGATGGATATTTTAGGATCATAATCTTTGAATCATATTAAAAAAATGACCGTGTTTTATTGACTTCATGATATAATATGTTCGTTTAGAATTATAATTAGAACTTTTCTTGTAAGTTTTAGGTATAATAATGTTGGATGTACGGGTATGGGTATTACCCATAGGTACCCGAAACCCACGGGTATGAGGATGGGTTTGCAAAACATTCCCCCGCATGGATATGGGGCGGGTATGGGTTTGAATATTTGAAGATGGGTATGGGGATGGTTTAAGCAAACCCGCCCCAAACCCGCCCATTGCCATCCCTAGTGACCGCAAAGGCAAGCTGCCATCGAAGAAGCATCAGCATTTACTGTATATATATATATATACAACAATGGAGTCGCTTTCTTCTCTGTTGGGATAGATTGGTTTTTCTACGTGTCTAGGAAATGTTAGCCGAGGGTGTGTGGAACAAGAGATAAGATGAGAAGATAATGCTAGTTCCGAATAATACAACACTTGGCTCCTCTTATAACCTTTGCTCCCTACTTTTAAGTTCTAACCATTTTAGATGTACATATTAACATATATATGATGTATCCCTCTTCCTTCCTTCGGTGACCGAAAAGAGTAATTTTCACTCTAAATTTAGTTACTCCGGTAAAATTTTATATCTTATGCGTTATGATACATTCAACGAAATAGGTTCGAACGTGAACACAAACTTACGTCAATACGAGATAAACACCGTAACCCAAACTCAATCACAAAGTTCAACATCTTGAGTGGGAATAGAAGAAAAGAAATTCAGTCTTGAAGCTGCACTCCCAATCCCCATCACAAAATTCAACCTTTTTACATGAATTAGTTTGTTGACTACGATGTTAAAACTAAAAAAAATTAAATGCAAAGGTTGGAAAACATCTGCAGATAGATATTTTCCTGGCATATACAGAGTAAAAAAAAAGTCGCTGAAAATTAAATACTAATGTCCCAGAAAAATATAATTCGCGAGTTCCCAAATTTACCAGTTACCTCCCACGCAACCTGAAAAAAATAAATTTATTTTCTTTTCGCTGAACTTAAAAAAGAAAGAGAAAAAAAGAAACCGCACACAGAAAATAATAAAGAATAAATAAGAGAGAGAAGGGAAAAAAAGAAGATAAAAAGGGGAAGCTTCTCGAAGAGACGTAACATACCTTCTCCTGCTTCTCTCTCTCTCTATCTACCTGCGTTTCGTCTTCCTCGCCCCCGCTCTGCTCAACCATCTCATCTCATCTTATCCCGATTCAGAACTTTCCAGAACTGTTTCAGTGACCGGAGAAAGCTCCTCCACCATTGCGCAGCCGATGACTCCGCCGACGTCGGATCAGACTGCCGACGCCGGTACTCCAACCGGCGGGGGAGGAACAGAGTCGCAGAGATCTCTCCCGACGCCGTTCCTCACCAAGACGTACCAGCTCGTCGACGATCCCGCAATCGACGATGTGATTTCCTGGAACGACGACGGATCCAGCTTCGTCGTCTGGAACCCCACCGTCTTCGCCAGGGACATACTCCCCAAGAACTTCAAGCACAACAACTTCTCCAGCTTCGTCCGCCAATTGAACACTTACGTAAGTAATCTTTTTCTAATCCCTGATTGAATCCGATTGGTCGAAATTCGAATTCCGTCTTTGCCTATTTCTAGGTTTTCGAGAAATTGAAATCAGTTTCGTGTGCCTCTGTTTTTCCAATTAGGGATTCAGAAAACTGGTGCCGGATCGATGGGAATTCTCCAACGACTGTTTCCGGCGGGGAGAGAGGCGCCTGTTGTGCGAGATACAGCGGCGGAAGGTCCTGTCATCGGCACAGACTCCATCCCCGACTCAGGTCCCGACTAAGCAATTCGCGTCTCCGTCGAATTCGGGGGAGGAGCAGTTCGGCGGCGCTTCCGCGACCTCGTCGTCGCCTCTCGCCGCGACAGCAGGGCCGGCGGCGGAGCTGATCGGGGAAAACGAGAGGCTCAGGAGGGAGAACATGCAGCTGAGCAAGGAGTTGGTGGATATGAAAAATCTCTGCAACAACATATTCTCCATGGTGTCGAGTTACACCGGTAGCGCCGGTTCTCTGATCGCGGAGGAGGAGGCGGCGGCAAGCCCGCCGCCGCCGCCGCTGGATCTGATGCCGGTAAAGCGGAGTGTGGGCGAGTTGGAGGAGGCGAGGATTTTCGGGGTGGCGATTGGGGCGAAGAGAGGGAGGGATGGAGAATCGGCGAGTGCGTCTGCGGCGGCTATGGAGGAGGACGGAGAGACTGAGTTGCAGCTGCAGCCGCCGGGGGAGGTGGTGAAGTCGGAGCCGGGGGATTGTCAAAACGGAGAGACGCCGTGGCTGAAGCAGTTTCACAGGGCGAATCAGAGGGTGTGTAATTAGTTGGTTAATTAATAATTAATTAACTCGTAAATTATATCTGTTAGTTTTGTTTTTCGTTCTGTTGCGAAAATTAGAGTTGCGGTAGAGAAAAGAGGATAGAAGTATAGAACAGGTGGCGGAGAAGGGAAGGAATAGTCGCCGGGGTGGGCGGGAACGGGATCCGAGAATCGGAACTGGGGAATGGCACGTGCTGATTGGGACCACGTGGCCTGCTTAAACCTGTGGGGCCGACTTCAGGAAGTTTCTCATAGACTTTTTTTTTCTTTCTTCTTCTCCATTTATGTTTCTGCTAGTTTCTTTTTTTCTCTCGTCAGGAAAAGGAGAGGGGAGAAAGTGATGGCGGGAAAAGAGGGAAAAGGTGGGCGTTTCTTTTTTTCTTTTGTTGATTAATTAATTTGTGCCTCAGATTTATGGCGAAGGAAGTTAAGTCGACTGGTTACGCCTGCTAATGGGGCTTTGACTAAGCTTCTGCTTCAGCCATCATCAAGCACATGACTAAAACAAACGGTTGGCGTGTTTGATACCCCAATGGACGACGTTTCAAGTAATGAGGTTTTCGATAAGAGTATTGTTATAAAGGCATTCCTATGGATCGTGAAATCGTCGGAATCGACAAAGTAAGAATACGAAAGCGGGAATAAAAAATACAGACATACAATTTACGTGGTTCATTAACATTATGTGTCTTAGCTAGTTCGTCGGCGAGAGAGAGTCAGGTTCACTATATCGACGAGATTACAGAAGAGTATGGGAAGTATTTGTAGTACTTCTCCATGTGGATCTAAACCTAATCCAATTTGGCAAAGGAAACGGTTACAGATCAAACCCAGAATCCGAATCCAAATAACATTGAGTCCATACACTGCGGGCTGATAATCCGATTCAAGTCACATCAACACAAGTATGATCCTTCATTGGTCAAAATTGGAATGAAAGTGCATTTGATCTTGTCTAATATTTGCTTTTGATGTGTTTCGTTGGTATTTATAAAGTTTATGTCCCCGAGAATCAAACCACATTATAATTGATCTGATTTGGTCTGATCTATGTGTTAGATTTAATCCGGTTTGATAAGAGGGGTGACCATAGTCCATACACAATCGTTGATTTACGCAAGAAAAGAAGGGCAAGGTTGGGGGTAGGCCAATTGGATAAACAGAAAGTGCCACCTCAGCTCATCCAGTCCAGCCCGAATTATCGTGGTAGCTGAACAAGACAGCCTCTGGGTTGGGCTGATGATATACTCCTTGGCCCAATGATTATGGGCTCGGCTTGCGAGCACAATTGCAACTCAAGCCCACTCTATTCCTTCTCTTTTCCTTTACACTTTCTACAGATTCATTCAACACACTGCTTCCTACTATCAAAGCAAAAACAAACAGCTTAAACCAGAACACATTGTTATCAAACTTCTGTAAATTATATTAGCAAACTGATGGGGATTAGTAGTATTCGGTACAAGTTCAACTAAACTTCATGTCTTCGTCTACAATCTTTGTTAAACCTATCTACTTATTCTTACAGAAGTTCAGTCAAACCAAGATCAAACCCCTTTCAACAACTTGTACACTTCCTCCATAGTTGGCCTTCTAGCTGGGTTCTCAGCCAAGCACACAGAAGCAATCTGCAGAACCTTAAGCATTGCACCTTCACAGTCCCCATGCACCACTGCTGGATCGAGGACCTCCACAGCTTCCCCTTTCTTCCTCTTCTGCAAAACCCACCCCACCAAGTTACCACCTTCTACTTCTTTGAAATCAGGTCCTGTGGGCTCCTTCCCCGTCACAAGCTCTAACAGGATGACCCCGAAGCTGTAGACGTCGCCCTTCTTTGTCGACCTACCACTCTGGCCGTACTCTGGGGGAATGTAACCCAAGGTGCCTGCGATCTCGGTGCTGACGTGGGTCTCGCACGCGCTGATCAGCCTCGCGAGGCCAAAGTCTGCGACTTTGGGCTCGAAATCCTCGTTCAGGAGTATGTTGCTGGCCTTGATGTCTCTGTGGATGATATGGGGGTGGAATCCATGGTGGAGGAACTTCAGCCCACGAGCTGAACCCACTGCAATCTTGAGCCTCTTGTTCCAATCAAGCACTTCCAGCCTGCCAGTTCTGTTCCTAAGCCACATGTCCAAGCTGCCATTCACCATGTATTGATAGACCAGCAGCTTCTCCTCACCAAATGAGCAGTAGCCGAGCAAAGAAACAAGGTTCTGGTGCTTGACCTTCCCTAAGGTTTCCATTTCAGCAACGAATTCTCTGTCCCCCTGTGCTTTTGCTTGACTCAGCTTCTTCACTGCTACTTTGTTACCGTTTCGGAGTGTGGCCTTGTAGACCGTGCCAAACCCGCCATCACCGATTATGTTGGTCTCCCTGAAGTTGTTGGTGGCTTCCAGGATGTTTCCCAAGGTCAGCTTCCGAAGCGGCTGCTCGAACATGGCCACATTGATGCTCAATGGCTCCCTTGATCTGCTGCTGTTGAGGAAGTAGAGGTGGTTTTGATCGATCAAGCTGTCCAGCTTGCTCACTTCAATTTCCTCAGCATTGCTTCGCCTGCTGCCTGAAGTGACCCATTGTCGTAGGCAGAAGGCGATTGTCAGGCTGAGAATGGTGAATCCAATTGCTAACCCAGAAACCAACCATATCAGGAGTGATGACTTTTTTATTCTGCTGATTTCGCAATGGGTGCCTAGGACTCCTCCACAGAGTTTGTTGTTGCCTTGAAGTGAAACCTTTGAGAGGTTTGAGCAAATCCCAACTTTGGGGACTGGACCTTCCAAGCTGTTCTGTGCCATGTTCAGGTAGAGGAGATTGGAGAGGGAGCAAACATTGGACGGAATCTGGTTGGAAAGTCGATTCATTGACAAGTCCAAGTATTCAAGCTGCAGAAGATTCCCTATCTCAGGAGGAATAGAACCTGTCACCATGTTTCCATGGAGATCCAGACGGGACAGGAAGGAGAGATTTCCTATGGATGCTGGAAGTTCTCCATTGATCATATTGTGACTTAGGTTCAGCGTTTCGATCCTCCAAGAAACAGAATTGGAGAGGAACTGGTCCAGACAGCCAGAAATTCTGTTGTGCTGAACAAACAACCCTACTAAGTTCAGCATTTCTGGAAGAGTTGAAGGCAGCTGGCCATCTAGGTCGTTGAAGCTTAGATCCATATGACTGAGCTCTTTCAAGTTGGAAAAACTTGTTGGAACAGAACCATGCAACTGATTCCCTGTCAAATTCAGCTTCACCAAGCTTCCCAATCCACCCAAAGAAGCAGGAATAGTTCCTGAGAGCAGATTGTTCCCAATGTACAGACCTTGAAGCTTGAAACATCGTCCGAATTTAGCTGGAATCGAACCGGACAACCGATTCCCAGACAAATCCAATGTGGTGAGGTTAGTCAACTCAGCAAGAGAACCTGGGATTTCACCTGAAAAACATAGAATGTTTAATTATCATTAGCAGAAATGACGAGCAATGTGCAGGCTTGTAAGAAGAGCTGAGGTACCAGACCTGAGAGCATGTTGTTGTTGAGCAGGAGATCAACTACTACCACAAGATTACCAAACTCCACCGGAACCGGACCGGACAACATGTTGTATGACAGATCAAGTACGCCACGGTGTTGAAGGTAGCTCAGGTCAGGAACATTCGCTTCTCGAAAGTACGATGAAGGCTTGGAAGGAATGGGTCCTGATAAGTTGTTGTGAGACAGCACCAGGCACTGGAGCTGACCCAAATCAGCTAGCTGATTGGGTATCGAACCATTGAGCCGGTTGTTTCCAAGGTCCAATGTGGTCAAGGAGCCACAGTTCCCTAGCTCAAAAGGGATCGATCCCTCCAGGAAATTGGAATTCAAATTCAGAACCGAGAGAGCTGTGAGGTTTCCAATCTCCTTCGGAATCGTTCCCCTCAGCTGATTATTGTTAAGCACCAGCCGCTGCAAAGAACCAGCCTTCCAAATCTCTCTTGGCAGAATACCCTCCAATTGGTTATTCCCAGCTGAAAACTCCATCAATGTCTCTGAACTCCAGAGGCTCACAGGAATTGAACCAGAGAAATTGTTCGAATCGAGATCGATCACCATCAACGGAAGGTTAGTTAAGTAACCCGGGATGCACCCACCGAGCCGGTTATCATCCAGAACCAATTGGGTCAAATTGCTGCATTGCAAAAACACTTCATCTATATTACCTGACAGGAAGTTGCCATTGAGATCAATTTCCTGGAGGGACACAGCATTGCAGATCTCCCTGGGTATCTCACCGCTCAATAAGTTGTCGCTGAGGCTGATATGCTGCAGCGAAGAACAATTGCCGATCTCGGTGGGAATCCTGCCTTCGAATTTGTTGCCGGAAAGCAAAAGGGACTCCACTTGTGTCCATTTGCCAATCCAGGAAGGCAATGGACCGGTGAACTCGTTCTTCTCGGCAGAAAAAGTGAGCAGTGGCAAGCCGGAGAGTTCCTCCGGGAGAGAGCCAGAAAGGGAATTGAAGGAGAGAGTTAGCATCTTTAAATTCCGGCAGCTTCCTAGCTCTGCGGGGATGGAACCGTTGAGCTCGGCGTAGACCAAGTTCATCATGGTCAAGTTCTTCAATTGCCCGATTGAGTTTGGAATTCTGCAGCCCAACGAGTTGTAAGAAAGATCAAGCTTGCTGAGTGAGCTCATCCCGGCGATTTCGTCCGGCAACGGGCCGGCGATTGAGCAAGAAGGCGCGATGAAATTCTCCAACCGAGAAAGGGCGCCGATTTCTGGCGGGAGCTGACCGGAAAACGAGTTGGTGCCGATGTAGAGATCAACCAGAGATGTGAGGTTACCGATTTCAGGCGGGATTGAGCCGGAGAAGGAGTTGTTGGAGATATCCAGTGACGTCAAAGACTGCAGCTTTGTGAACAGAGCGCCGGGAAGTTGGCCGGAGAAACGGTTGTTCCCCAGGTCCAAAAACTGCAGCTGCGTCAACTCTCCGAGCTCAACAGGCAACGCTCCGGAGAGTCCGTTGCCGGAAAGGTCCAGAGTGTCCAATCTGGTCAAACTCCCGATTCCCGCCGGAATTTCGCCAGTGAGGGAGTTGAGTCCGAGTTTCAGTGACCGCAGGTGAGTCAACCCGCCGATTTCGCCCGGTATTTCGCCGGACAGCTGGTTTTGAGACAGTGACAGCTGTCGCAGGCGCTTCAGCTGGCCGATTTGGGGAGGAATTTCGCCGACCAGAGCGTTGGAAGAAAGGTCGAGGAAGACGAGAGTTGAGAGAGAGAAAACGGAAGCCGGAATTTGACCTCTGAGAGAAGTGGAAGCGAGTGCGAGCGACGTGACCCGGCCGAGTTGGCAGCTCACGCCGACCCAGCTGCAGTGAGGAACTGAATCGTTCCAGGAGGACAGAAAGATGGGGTTTTGAAGTGACCCTTTGAACGACAAGAGGATTTCTGCGTCTGGGCTCGCAACGGAAGAGGCGAAAGAAGTGAAGAAGGAGAAGATCATGAAAATGGCGAATCCCAGTAGCTTCTTCCCAAGCTCCATTTTTAGGTGTGAGGCAGAGAGAGAAAGAGAGAGGAATGTCTAAGTTTAAGAAGAAGAAGAAGAAGAAACAGTTTTTGTGAGAGGAGAAAGATAAGGGCTAGGCTGAAAGAAGTCAAATCCCATTGAAGGACAGGAAGGAAGAAGGAGAGAAAAAGAAAGCTTAAACCCAAACGGCCATAGCTGCAGGGGAGAAGAAGGAAGAAGGGAGGGAAAATGTGAGGGAGGAGGACTGGGATTGTAATTTGCCAAAAGAGAGGGGTTTTGGACTATGGTACCTGTCAGTCAGATGTAGGGGTGGGCATCGGTTCGGTTCGGTCGAAACCGAACCGAAAAGATGGATACCGGGTCGGCTGCTTCCTCAAATGGCCAGACCGAACTCGAACCGGAATATAATTCGGTTCGGTTCGACCGAACCGAATTGTAGACCGGTTCGGTGGTCAACCCGAAAAGGACCTGCTGTATGTTTGGGAATGACCTGCTGCCTCATTTTTTTAGAGGAACTGCTGCCTCTTTTTTTTATGGCAGCTGCTGCCTCATTTTTTTAGAGGAACTTGAGACAACAAATAAGCACACAAAGTCTCAAACATCAATTGTCAACCATTCTAAAATTCAAGACAAGTACAAATACCAAAATCCACCATTCAAACATCAAAGTCTACCATATGAAAAGATAAATTACATTATACTTAAAAACATAAATTGAAACTCCAAAGTCCATTTATCATCTCTTGGTTCTTCATTGCTCCTTACTTCTTGTTTCTTCAATCTTCATTTTTGACCCCTGCTGTCTTTTTTCTATCTTTTTCCTCTTAATGCTATTAGCTAGCTATCTTTTTTCTATCAATTAACAAACATAAACATATATAAATCGAAGTCAATCAAACCATGCTTCAGACCTCAATAGTTCAATTAGGCCCCTGCTGTCTTTTTTCTTGGTTTTTTTTTTATGCTAGCTAGCTTCATTTTACAGAATAGACATCAAAACTGGAAATAGATAGTTACCAAAACATGAACATCCTCGGTTGCAATATTTGGAATTGGACCGTCAGTGTGAGAAGAGCTGCCAGGATTTTTTCGTTTGCTGGATTTTCGATTGGTGGTGCTCATGGCTTTCGATGGAGAGAGATGGGCAGATGGCGAGTGGCGACTGCCGTCGACGAGGGGCGACAATGGGGGCCCTGCGCCTGCACTGCTGGAAGCTGGATGGTGGTGGCTGACTGGCTGTCGTGCTCTGCTCTGCTACCCCCGGCGCCGGCGGTGACTCATGGTGCAGAGATGGAGGGCGGCGACTCTCGACTCTCGAGACTCGAGTTGTTGTTGGGAGGCAGGCGTGGCGGCGACTGGAAATCAGTGATGGGAGGGCGGCGGCGACGGCGACTGAGGGTCGGGAGACGGAACGGAATGGAGTTTTGGCTGCTGGTCGCTGGAGGGTCGGGAGACGATCGATTCGAAGGAGACTGGCTGGCGGCTGCTGGAGGTGGAGGGCGAGACTCGAGAGGCAGAGAGGAGAGGCAGAGGCCGAGAGGGTTAGGGGTTGTTAGGGCTTGTTTCGGTTGGGATTGGGTCATTGGGAGGCTGGCTGCTGGGCTGGGTTTCTTCAATTGGGTTTGGGCTTGCAGCCCAGCCCTTGCCCCTTGGCCCATTACCACTTACTAGCTTATACAACATTTCGGTTTACGGTTCGGAATTCGGAATTCGGTTTCGGGCGGTACCACCATGTATTCCGAAGTAGAAGGATTTTGCATCCGAATTCCGATCCGAAATGAAGGAAATTCGGTTTCGGTCGGTTCGGGGTCGGTTCGGTTCGGTTCGGAGAGTTAAAACCGGACCGAACGCCCACCCCTAGTCAGATGGGAACGGCACACGCAACTCACGTGACATAAGGCACTGGTTTGGTTATATCATGTTTTGTAACCGTATTACGGATAATCCATGTTGTTTAATATCAGATAAGCCCCCAAATTATTGGGTAATACTCCATCTGGACCCATTACTTTTCCAATGCGATCCAAAAAGACCCATCACTTGCGTTTGCTCAGAGTCCGGATCTTGTCCTTTTCCTCATCTCCATCCCCTTTGCTTTTTTCTTTTGGTTGATGATTTTGGCCACTGGTTTTCTGATTGCTATGGCATTGAGGTTTGTCTTTATAGAGTTCTCTAGGGATTGCTTTTGGTTGGATGGTGTACAATTTTTTTTTGTGGCATTGTTAAACTATTTGATTCTACCTACCCCTAATCTTTAGTCTACGAATCCAGGCTCATATGGGGAGCATGATTGGATGTTCTTTCTGCTCAATTGGGTTGGTGTATTATAGGAACAAAAGCAAAAAATGTTGAAGTGATTTTATAATTTTTGATGATAAATTACGGGATATATATAACCTAAAGATGAAAGAAAATTTATGCTCAAATATTCATAAGTATTGTAGCCAACTTCCCTTCTTCATAAAATTTTCCCATTTCTTCCTAAATTTTTTTTTGCTATGCTTATTTTACATATTCAGTAGTCTTATAGACCTAAATGGGAAGTTATTATAGCACTTTTTTGTACACTAAAAGGGAGAAACCATTGAATCATTGGCTACATAGTACAGATTTTGAATAATTTCCTCCTCAGAAACTCATTGCTGTTCATAATAAGCCAGCCACCATTACCATAAAAGCCAGCCACCAATAGAATAACCATATAATATAAGCAGTGATTACCAATTTCTCCAACGTGCTATGAGTCTATGACCCTATGCATGAGAAAAGGTAGTAGTATGAGGACCAAATGGTAAGGCCAGCAAATTAGGGGGAGTTAGTTGAGATAAGAACAGAGGTGAAGCAGGAGGAGCAATGAATGAAGCTAAGCGTTTCAGTTTGGCCTTTCCTTTTCTTCTTCTTCTTCTTCCCCCCATAATCCTTATGACCCATATGGCCATATGGATCCCCAGAACCGTGACGAAAGCTTGACCAGTGGACCACGAAAAGCTCTCAACGGAGAAAAAGGGGAAACGGCTTGCTTTATTTCTGGTGGGGTCAATAGTCAAATTTTGCAATCAATTCTGAAAGTGAGACCTTTCCCTAATAAGAGGTTTTTAAGTCTTAACCCAAAATTAGTGATTTCCAGAAAGGATAAGGAACCCTGCTCTGTTTTTAGGAGCAAGTTCTTCAATTAGTAGCTAATTACCTGTAAATCTTCCATACCCAATACTTCACTTCCCATATCAATGTGGATTGTAAAAATGGCTTTATATTTGAGGAAAGGGACTGCCTTGGCGTTGCTCTCCCTGAAGCTTAGCTGTCGCTTCACAGGAAGCAGCAGACCCCCTGTTTTGGCAAGCCCTATCTCAACAAAAAGGAAAATACAATTTTTTTGAAGATCTCTCTGTATCTTTCTTCATCACACTGTAACACTACAGTGTACTACTCTACTGCCAGTTCCTTATTTCCCTCTGCCAGTTGCTTTCCCCTTATCTCTCTCTCTCTCTCATTAACTTCTTCTCCCCCAAAGGCCAAAACTGGGATTAGGGGTTCTCCCATAGTCCCATTTATTAATCAAACAAACCCGCCATGAGAGTAAACAAGTGGGTTTCATTCGTTTGTGACAGAGGAACAGAATAATGCATGAAGTAAATGGTTTTCAGGGTGTTCAAAAACAGAGCAAGCTACCCAAGAATTGAACTGGCTGTGTAAAGAGAAAAACCAAAGCAAAAGAAAGAAAGGATGTGATGTGAAGGGTGGAAAAAGGGGAAAGCTGGTGTTGTGGCAGGTGGAGAACAGTTCCTTTCTCAATTAATTAAGGGGGCGGTGATGGCCATGGGATGGGAGGAAAAAGCTGCTCTTTCTTCAGTTGGGGTTTGGGGGAAAAAGAAAAACAGAGTTGGGGACTTGAAGAAGTGTACACGATGAACTCAAATAGCAAAGTGAAGTGTGAGCAGTGGGATCTAATACGTATGCATATAATGTAAGAAACGTACGCCATGACAATGTCCTTCTGAGCAGCAGGAGGGCCTTCTTCTTCCCTCTCCACGATGCATTATTATGGTTTTCAATGAATTCCGCTACCGCTGAAAAATGAGCAGAGAGAGCAGAGATGGGTGCGATGGGATGGGATTCCCTCAATTTTTGCTTTTCTTTTTCATCAGCGAATCACACAGAGAATTGTCCTTTTGCAGAGTGCAGACTGCAGAGGCTCTAGTTTTTGTTTGGACATGGCTCCAAGATAAATGGGCTTGGTCCAGCTGAGGTCCCTCACCATTAGCAATGTGATTATTATTGGTGTTGAGTATTAAAACTTGTATATAAAAGTTTGGAGCATCAAATAAGTCAAAATTTTATATTTGTCCAATCAGTGGCGGATCCAGGGGTGGCCACCCCGGGCCTCGGCCCAGCCCTCCTCTGGATTTATAGTTAGTATATATCTTATGAATTTTTCGATTTTAGATATTCGGCTCGTTGTTATTTTAAAATAAGATTTGGTATAATTAGAAAAATGATTCAGATGAACATATTCAAAATCACTACTCTAAATTTAACTTATAAATTCTAACCCAAAGGTTATTCCTCTAAAAAAACAATGAAACCTAAAATTCAAAAAGTTTAAAAGGTAAAAGACTAAAAGATATATGAGGTTTGTTCTTGAAAATTTACTAGTGCAGCTGGTGGATATATGAATGGAAACACAATGCAAATTGATTAGTAGATTGATTTGTCTAATGTTGATGCTGCTCGTTTCAACAGCTAATACGAAGAGAACCTTTTCAATAATGAAACATGTGAAAATTGATTTGCGCAACAAAATGAGTGATGAATTTCTAGTCGATTGCTCAAGTATTTTATTTGAAACAGTGTATATTATTGGTATGGATGTGAACTCCATTATTAATGCATTCGCTAAATTAAAATACCGTCGTGTAGAATTTACATTGTAAAAGAAATTATAATCATTATCTTTTTTTTTATGATTCTAATTTTTTTCTAATAAAATGCGGTCCAGTGCACTTTTGTGTTCTGGATCCGCCGCTGTGTCCAATGCTTATGATAGCTAGCTTCTATGCTTACCTTGCCATATTTTTTTTTGAGCGTGTTATTTTTTGTATGTGTTGCAATGGAGTTGAGATTAGGGGAGATGTATGATTGGATGATTGCCTCGTGTGGTGGATGCTTGTTATATGCGTATCAGCGTATGGATCGAGGAAAAGGGATCTCTACTTGTGCCATGACACATAGCTCGCATGCGTTTGGGTGTCTAGCTCGACATTGGTTTCTTACTCCAAATCTAAGCTCCTTCATGGTTTTGATATGGAAGGAAATAAAGTGTGAGTGATTAGTTGAACTTCGTCTAATGACACTCTCTTCAAGAACGCCTCACGATGAGACTTGACTGGTGCTTTGGTAAGCCCTAGGCATCCACTCTTCTTCTTATGGGGTAGTGAGGAAGTCACCATTACACTTTCATATGTTTTCTCATGACCATTTGTTGTGTATTTAACATTTTTGTGACGATACAAGGACTCATCGAGTCGGCCATGTGCGTGCTTATCGGTTATCACGATATCAATGCCACTGTGACCTTGCCTCGAGCATGTCGCCTTGCATTGAATTTGTGCTATAAATGTTTCAAGTGACTTTTACCAACCCTAGGTTTGCTTTTGAAGGTTTGATGCGCTTTTGATAGCACTTTGTGCATTTTCAAGTCAAAGCATACTAGTGGACCACTTGGTAGCCGAAGTGGACATCGAGATCTAATTGGTGGAGTTGGGAATCGATGAAGAATGGACTTAAATAAACAGGTCCTAAAACAGCGGTCCATAATGGAAAACGACGTCGTTGTTGTCATTTTACAAGGCACCTCAACTTCGTTAGGAAGTTACCTTTAAGCTTTCTGATTCGCCGACTAAGTGTTTGGAGCTCTCTAATTAGTTGTATGATGTAAAAGCTACAATTTTCTCTCCTCAAAATCCCTAATTGAAGGCCTATAAATATGTCTAGAGGAAATAATCGAAGGGGGAGACGTGTAGGGATGTCAACGAAACCCGAACCCACGGGTACCTTACCCGACCCAACCTGGTCAACGCGGCTAAAACCCATGTTGACGGGTTTTGGGTTTAAACCCTTTCACTATTTATCAGATTGGGTTGGGTTTGGGTTTAGGTATACCCGACCCATGGGTACCAGCCCACACCTATATAATTAATTTTCCCGGTATATTTAATATTATAAGCAACTAATCTTCTTTTCTGTTTGTGGAGACATATCTAATTTTTTCTTTCTAATTGTGTAGAATGAAGTTGATATTATCGAGTGTAGAATGAAGAAGCTTAATTAACGAGGAAGAAACTTTCAATTAATCATGTTGTTTATGTATAATTTTTGATTTGCTTCAAAAAAATTTAGTTTTCTAGATTGGTGTTGAACAATTTGTATGGTTATATATAGATTATTTGTATTGAGAGATTGATTTTTGACTTTTATTTTGATAGGAACTTGTTAATGTAAATATTTTACGACAAAACCCCGCGAGTACTCATCAACCTGCGGATACCCAGCGGGTTGGGTTGGGTTTTAGTTTTCCAAACCCAGTGGGTTTTACCCTGGGCCTTTTTCACGAATAAACTCATGGGTTTGGGTTTGACAAAATCCGACCCAACCCAACCCATTGCCATCCCTAGAGACGAGTGGTCAAGGAAGGGCCGTTACTCTGTCAACAAAGCAAATAACCTGACTAAGAGCGAAACCAACCTCACGGGAGGAATTGACGGCAAAAATTGCGGTCTTGCCTTGTTTTCTCTGTTGTGGATGCTAATTCTAGTGGTGTTCTAGGGAGTTCGTTTCGATCGATGATCGCCTAGAAATCCTTCCTATGGATGGTTAGTTCCTTTAGTTGCATGGGTATTTGAACCCTATGAGTTCTAGTCATGTAAAACTCGATGTTTTGCTTAGTACTATTGTTTTTATTTCAATTGTATTGATGCTTGATTTCCTCTATTTCATTATTTATCGATTCAAATGATTGCTTAGTCGAACTTGCACTCCTTCGAGGTGCAAGGATCAAAATCCCAGTCATGTAGGATTAGACCAAACATGGCGGTCCTATTCGATCAATCCTCATTCGATAGAACAACGTGACGCCTCAAGGGAGAAATCTGTAGGGTCCTTGACGCCCATTAGTTTAGGTAAATGCTTTGACACACCAGTGAGATCTAATCAAATAAGAAAATGACAGCTCGTATGTTGTTGAATATTGAGGGATACGTGACTAGGAGACCTAGGGGGAGTTTGCTTACGCAACGCTTTCCTTCTCTGCTCTATAGTCCATCCAACTTAGTCGTAGATTTACTTTCCTACACTC